TTAAAGCAGGTAGTATGTCCGACCCCAGTAACTTTTAGACCAATTTCCGTACTACCTACTTGTAGTAAAATATTTGAAAAAATTATATTAAATCAACTGGTAAGTCATTTTAACGTAAACAAATTATTACATAATAATCAGTTCGGTTTTACCAAGGGTCGCTCGACAGCCGATGCCGGTGTTGAGTTATATAGATATATAGTTAAGGCTTGGGAGGAGTCGCATGACGCTTTAGGTGTTTTCTGCGACTTATCCAAAGCATTTGATTGTGTCCAACACGAGACCTTAATCGGGAAACTCCGCCACTATGGCATCAAGAATACCGCACTGAATCTTCTGACTTCCTATTTACACGGAAGAACTCAGAAGGTTGAAGTGAATGGTAAGAGGTCCTCTGGGTCGGCAGTAGATATGGGGGTACCACAGGGCTCAATTCTTGGCCCTTTCCTCTTTCTTGTTTATATAAATGATCTACAAAACATCAGATAGTTTTGTTTGCTGATGACACGTCCTTGATTTTTAAAATCAAACGACAAATAACAAATTTTGACGATGTGAACAATGCCCTGTCTTCGATTGTCCATTGGTTTAGTATGAATAACCTTCTACTTAATGCAAAAAGACAAAATGCATTAAATTTTGTGCAAAAAATGCAAGGGTTATGGATACTAGACCAATTATAAACGGTGAGGAATTGAATCTGGATGATACAACTGTATTTCTCGGAATCACCATGGATTCAAAACTTCAGTGGTCCCCTCATATTAACGGATTGGCGAAGAGACTTAGTTCTGCAGCCTACGCGGTTAAAAAAATTCGCTCACTAACTGATGTCGATACAGCTAGACTTGTTTATTTTAGTTACTTTCATAGCTTAATGACTTATGGCTTATTATTATGGGGTCATGCTGCTGATGTCGAAACTATTTTCATCCTGCAGAAGAGGGCTATTCGTGCAATCTATAATTTAAAAATGTAGGGAATCTCTTAGAGATAAATTCAAGGAAATTAATATACTTACCTTTCCCTCGCAATATATTTATGAAAATATTATGTATGTATACAAAAATAGTGATAAGTTTACTAGAATAGAACATACGCACAATGTTAATACTACCGGAACAAACGCAGGCTGCAATTTCCCCGTACTAGACTATCTAAAGTTAGTAATTCTTTTTTTGGGGAAAGGGATACTCTTCTTTAATAAAATCCCAGAGGCTCTTTTATCACTGCCTTTCAATAAATTTAAGAAATGTATTAAAGAAAAGCTGTGTAAAAAGGCTTACTATAAAGTCAACGATTATCTAGTTGATAAAAAGGGCCTGGGACTAGTGCTAGACAGGCTACTTCTAATCAATTTGCGATATTTGTTTTAAATAAGTGTTGTTTGATGATTTGCTGTTTTAAAAGAGTACCGAGAGTTTTTTACGCCGGCTTTTTCTCTCGGCCTACACCCTCTGTCTTCTTTGCCGATGAGTAGGGATGCCTTCAAATTTAATGACGTGGAATAAGTGATACATGTATCTTTGTTCCATAATAAACATATTTTATATTTTTTTATTTTATCACTTAACATCAGGTGAGCCCGTTTGCCTCCTATTACAAAAAAAAAGTAATGATAAACATTCTTATGTACAGTGAAATATATTTTGGGCCGATGATTAATACAAACCATTAAAATATTAATGTGCAATGTCTGCCTATAATTCATATTCATTTAATTTAGGAGATATCACGAAAGTAAGGTCAATGGCCTCATGCGATTTATGTGCTCTCTGATAATTTTCATTACATATTATCTCGTCTCTAATACTACTCACTCACTCACTCTCCTTTAGTTAAGTATGTAAATTAATTTTAAATAAAACCAGATAATTTGAAATATTTGTGAAAACTACAATTAATTGTTACATATATTTTTTAGTTAACCTATAAAAAGGTTCGATAATAAATATGCTTTATTTATTTAAACATATTAAGATGTACCCATTACAATAGAGAGCTGAGAAAAAACACAGAGAAGTGAAAGAAAAAAAGAAACAAAAGTGAGGTAAAATAATTTAATATAAATTCATGCATCTATTTCCTTTAGTATATATTAAACTGCACATTTAAGTAAATATGTAAAAGACAAAAGATAAAGAGAACTTAAATTAAAAATTGTTGTCGCCTGGTAGATAGCACCGATGACCCCAGAGCTGGTGCTTTCCTCGTTCAACGAATAAGTATCGCTATACAGCAAGGCAATGCTGGCAGCATTAAAGGTACATTACTAGGGACTAAACTTAAAATTTGTTTTAATTTTATATTTATTAATTATTATTACTATGTAGGTCCAGAAAATTGTTCAAATTATACAGTATATTTGTGTGTTGGAATTGAAGATTTAGTTAATATACAAAGACAAAAACAATTTATTATAAGAAAATGCAATTCCTTTTATTTTATACTTTTGGTCAAGTTTAGTAAAAAAAAGGAACAACCATAATGTTTAAAGAAAAAACTTTTTACCGGATTAAAGTTATGTATTATTATAAATTTACGGCCACGGTGACCACGCACGCTGTAAATCACGTTAATTATGTTAAATAATTGTAAATTTATAATAATACATAACTTTAATCCGGTAAAAAGTTTTTCTTTAAATGGGTAAAGGTTATGTTAATCAAAGACAAAACTATGATGTTTGCATATTTATTCTCATTCTTACATTCTTAATTAATATTTTTTTATATAAGGTTAACAGAATATATTTATTAACACACTTAATTATAAAAACAATAACTAACCTTAAAATATAATAACAAATATATTATTAAAAGAAGTCCCTTTAGGCAAGGTTTCGAAGATCCTGGCAGCGTTCCCCCTTTGAATAGCTAGACTAATTCTTTGTCCGAGTTAGCTGCCAGCTCTTCGGTCTTCTGTGATGTCGACTAACCTTTTTGATATTTCCTTAAAAAGCCTTATAGCGCTAGGACCACACGGACCAAGGGTCTCGACACAGTATGGAACAAAATCATATTCGGAGCCTAGACCCCTGACTTCTTTATTCTTATATACATACATACATATTTTGTACATTATTTCTAATTATTACCATTAAATATGTAGCCGTTAAATTTCTTTAGTAGTAATCTATAAATCTATAAAGCTGAATTCTTTGAAATGAACAGTATTAATACCTGTATTTTCAATTCGTGCTTTCTCTTCAACTTTTAGAGGCAGCTAGGCGCAAGTACCAAACCTGTTTGGACATTCTCTCGCTAATCCTGATAATCCGACATGCATTAATCTTTGATTAATTTGAAAAAAAAATGTTTAAAATTTATATATGCATTTTCTATGATTTTTATTTTACAAATTTAACCTAGCAGTCGAGGTTATTCGCTAGATAAAAGTTAACTAATTGACGATGAACGACTTACGGTGACCAGCTTTATAAACGACGACTCATTGGTCTAGCGGTTAGTACCCCTGACTGCGAATCCATGGGTCCCGGGTCCGATCCCTGGCTGAGACGAACATCGATGTGATGAGCATTTGGTGTTGTGCTTAAGTCTTGGGTGTTAAAATATGTATTTATATGTCTATCTATCTATAACATCTATGTACAATGTACATCCGTTGCCTTGTACCAATAACACAAGTTTCACCAGCTTAGCATGGGACTAGGTCAATTGGTGTAAAAGAAAAAAAAACGTTAATTTGGTCGTAGCGTGATTCAAAGTTTCCCTTAGTAAATGGACCACAAAATAATTTTTCAGTTAGATTCTGGAATCAGCCAGTTTTGACAAACATTAACGTTATAATATTAGATAGCAAAAGAAATCACTTTGTGTTAGTAAAAACATAAAACTATTTTACCTTTACGTATGACTGTCTTTTATAGAAAAATAAGATAAAACGAAGCTTAGTACTTAAAACACCAGCATTGTCATTAAAAAACACACATTTTTATATTGCACTTGGACAATTTTTTTTTCTACAGAACTACTAACTTATCAGTGTCAAAAATCGGACATTTGTTATATTTATTTACATGGTCACTTGAAAACTAAGTAAATACGTCTTAAGTATGTTTTATGCGTACCTTAGTTATCAATAAAAATATCTGCCTTATATTGCTCACATATATATATATATATATATATATATATATTTCGCACTTGATATTTACAATTTAAACATGGACGAATGCTAATTACAAGATTAAATTAATGTCAAAATCCTGTACTTTAAATAAGAATATTTGAAATTTTGAATAAAAAATTATGCTAATGGATATTTGGAATAACGCGTTTTTATATCAATTAAGTTGCAAAAAAAATTTAATTCTATAAAACATGTAAGAATGTCACGGGATGTTGTAACTACAAAAAACAAAGTTTTTATTACTTCTATTAATCACATGCATTGATTCTCTATATGGAACTTAATTATAGTCCTTACAAGAATTCCTAAGTATATTTTTGCAAATAATTTTATAAATATATATACATACGTGCTATAAAAGAGAAAAAATTTAATATTGACTGAAACATTTGATAAAATACATTTTGTTATGTTTTTGAATTTGATTAAGATCTACAGGAACATACTTTACTCTTAATTATCTGTAAAGTTACGATTACAGATATATTATATATATTTTAAATATAAAAAAATTACGAGGTAAAAACGTATCCAAACTCACACATTGAAATCACAAATCCAAAAAAATATACTAAAAATGTGGTACGAATTGTTCCACACGTGCGATTCTTGGTCTATGTCTAAACCAAAAATGAAACTGTAACTAGCAACGAGGCGAACAACATTCCTAAATTGTTTAGAAAAAAATATCTAAGCTTATCTATGTCTAGAACTAACCGAAGACGCCATAGTTTTAATATGTTTGTAGGCCCTGACCTCTGCCCGACGAGAGTATAAAAGAGGGTAGCGCTGTATCAACATCAATCAGTCAACCGCTGGCTTTCAAGAATCGCGCTATCCTTAACAAAATGCAGTACTTGATTGTTCTTGCTCTCGTAGCGGCCGCGTCCGCCAACGTGTACCACGACGGTGCCTGCCCCGAAGTCAAGCCAGTCGACAACTTCGACTGGTCAAACGTAAGCATTAAAAATAAATTTACTATAATTTTTGGTTCCATTTTAAAATTGATTTCAATAATAAATTTCAGTGTAATGTCTTGTAATTTTAAGTGATTATTTCGCCAATGTAATTATATTTACAATGTGTTATAGAGTGAAAAAGTTCTAAGTGTAATTTTAAGTTCTTCGTAGCCTTTAGTGCCTACGAAGGTCGCTACGAAAAATCGTAGATAATATTCATAATCATAATTATAGGGCTGCGTTTCGCCTAAAGCTTGATAGTTGAATTTTCATTAAATCTTAAACAGAAACAATGTAATATTGAATATTATTTGTTGAAATAATTCATTAAAGTAAAATATAATTTTACTTTAATTTTCCGTGAAACGTATAATCGTTTTCATTTTCTTCTATTGCAATTACTAAAATAATAACAAAATATTACACTAATTATAAATACGAATATGAATATACGAATTTTTATTATACAAAAAACCGCGTAAAGATCAATTTGAATTTTCTTAAAATATATAAAAAAAATAGATTTCATAATGTTCAAAAATACTACACAGTATGTATATTTAATGTGAATTTTTGTGAGAATAATAATTTTCTAACATACTTATATTTTTAAAGTCAAATATTATTTAATGATTTATTTTTATATAAAAGAAAACTTCTAGGTACTTAATACGATAAATTTATTAAGACATTAAAAAAAAAGATTAGCATGTGTGGAAAAAAACAAAGTAAATAATGACTTAGCAGCGTATAATTTGAATAAATATTTAATCAGTAATAAATTATGCATAGAAGTACTGGGAGCGCACCGAATTTAGGCGAAAATAACCGGTTTTTGAACTGGTGTTCACAATATAATTTTTTCATCTTATCAGTTTTTATTTCTCTTTAATTAAACCATATCTATTCAAAATTTGAGTCCTACCCAGAAAGTGTAATTTAATTTATACAACATTATATTCGAACCATACCTGACTATGTATATGATAAGTATGGAATCTTAACCGGATGCGTTATTTTAATCGCTTAAATTAATCTTACCCTACGTTTAGGAATAAAAGGCTATTTTTATTAATTAATCTTTAGGTCAAAAATTACTGAATAATATTTGGCATAGCCATTAATGTGATAATTCGAATTAATATCAAATTAGCACTAGTTATTTGATCTCTTAATAACATACTCCTACAATTCAATTTTAATAATTATATTCTTTTAATTATTTTAATATTAATAGTAATGCCATAAAATCAAGAATAAATAATAATACCATAGATTTCATCGGTACCTAAATCGGTCTTTCATTGTTGTGTCAACTAATGGAGAATTAGATTTCTTAGCTTAGCTTAGGGGTTTCATTCAAATTTTTAACTACCTTTTATAGATTAAATAAACAATATAAATCATTAATAAAAAACTAATTTGTATTTATATAAATTAAATATATAAGACAGCAATATAGGCTTTATATCTATAACTTAAAATGTTTGATATAGTCTAATCTAAAGAAAAATAATTAAATCACCTTCTTAAAAGTAATTTATTTATTTTTATTATTCATACTTATTTGACATTGCTGATTGTGCAGTTCTTTGTAATATCGTCTTATTTTCAAGGCAAATAAATTATATATTTTCCTTATTATTTAGTAATATATGAGATTACAAAACTCACGGATACTTTTATTACAGTACTACGGTAAATGGTGGGAAGTCGCCAAATACCCCAACTCAGTTGAGAAGTACGGAAAGTGCGGATGGGCTGAATACACCCCTGAAGGCAAGAGTGTCAAAGTTACGAACTACCACGTAATCCACGGCAAGGAGTACTACATTGAAGGAACAGCCTACCCAGTTGGTGACTCCAAGGTTGGAAAGATCTACCACAAGCTGACTTACGGAGGTATGTATATCTCATGATAAAAGTGGTATACAAATTTGAAGGTTTTAATTGCTCAGCAGAATTTTAAATAATGTTAGTACTATACTATATTAAGAATTATTACTTAACGAAATCCGTTATCCGTAAATTCAATACACAAATTTATTCACAAAACAATAAATAGTAATAATAAATTGTATCAAATAATTGAACTGTATTTTTTAAATTATTTAAAAAAGTACTTGTCATCGCAAAAACTCAGGCTATGAGTTCCCTTGTGAAGTGGGGCAAAAACGTAAGACTGCCAAAACATTAATAGCTTTGCATAATTTTAGCAAATGGAAATCAACTAAGATAAATAAAACTATTAATTTGTTTAGGTGTCACCAAGGAGAACGTATTGAACATCCTCTCCACTGACAACAAGAACTACATCATCGGATACTACTGCAAATACGACGAGGACAAGAAGGGACACCAAGGTAAGATGCCTAAATATTATTAATTCCTTAAACTGCAAAATTCTCGATAAAGTGCAAATTCTCAATAAACGACCAAAAACAGTAACTAGGCACAGATTTGTAATACTTTATCACCAAAACACTCGTTATATAAATTAAGTCATTGCTATTTTATTCTCAACACGGTATATCTGCGTGTTAATCTTATCAAGATACATTAATGCAATTATATTCGCAAATATATTAAAATTTTAATTCAAGTGATGACAAAAAAGGCGAAAAAACTTAGCGAAATTTTCAAAACGGTGACAGTAATTGGGAAATAATCAAAATTTTAAATTTCGATTTTTTTATTGTAACATCGTATAGTAACTTCAAAAGATAATTGACAATGTTCAAGCTCCCTGACTGAGTTTTAGTATGTGTACGTTATTAACCAATATTTGCTTTGCAGACTTCGTCTGGGTGCTCTCCAGGTCCAAGGTCCTTACTGGTGAAACCAAGACCGCCGTCGAGAACTACCTTATCGGCTCCCCAGTAGTCGACTCCCAGAAACTGGTATACAGTGACTTCTCCGAAGAGGCCTGCAAGGTCAACAAATAGACGTTAAATATTAAGATAATAACAACATCTTCACCCATCACAATTAATTGAAACATTGATGCTATTTCAAAGGTATTACTTACTTAATCTTCTATGATGTTGTTATTCTGCATCGTAATGAAGTTGAAGATTAGGTGTGTAGTGTATACAGTGAGGATGCTTAGTATAAGTTAGATAAATAATTACAAAACAGTTCCGCAATAAATGTGATTGGCTCCTAAAACTTCATTTATTTGTTTTATTCATCCTATTCCAAATTCATCCGATATTCTTCGGATCCAACATAACATAAAATAAAGCTCAAACCCAATCCAAACAGTACTTTGAAAATTTTAAACAAATATTGTTTAACCGTTTTATACGATATAAGTAACAATAAGGGTTTAAAATAACGTTAAATAATTCATAAATACTACATATATTTATAAAAGATTTGACAAACTTCATTGAAAATATTAAAAAATAATATAAGTTGTTCCGCATTATTGTGTCGTTAGTTGAGTTAAAATATTGGATACTTTCTGAGTAATTTATTGGCACATGTTCAAACTGAATTCTGTGTGGTTTTAACTGGTTCTGTAATCGAAACTGCGTATACGCATAATGCATCTTGTATGACCATATAGGATTTTATAAAAAGTCTTTTGATTTTCTATACAAGTGTACTCGCGATGTTACAATGTTGTTGAAATATTTTTAATAGCAGAGTTTAACCAAGTTGTAGGTTTCTTTTGTATATGGCCTGATTATAATTTTACTAAATTTAATAACTAGAAGATAATATGTATGTAGTTATATTAAAAAAAAGAAGATAAGAGAATTAATTTTAACATGACAATATGATATGTTTGTGCAATGCGGAAATTATACATACCTACATGAATATTTAAAAGCATTATCTAATGCACTTTATAAAAATGTTCTAAGCTTTGTTCAAGGATAACTACAATCAGGTTTTAAAGAATTTGAGATAACACTTGCGATTTTCGTCAATAATTAAAACTAATGATGCTGGCAAAAAGTATGTATATTAATTAATATTATGCAATCATTTTTCGGTAAACAAAAGTTGCGGTTATAAACGCGAATTTATTAATATCTTTGTTTGTTAAAAATATAATCAATATGTTATATTCATATAGTATACGTTTTTTACCAGGATTACCAGGGCAACTTGGGATGAGTCCGCTGGAGAATTTGAGTTTTAAATCGAAAGTGAATACAAAGATATACTTCTGTAGGGATCGCTAAAGTTATTGCTGTGGAAGTTTCTTAATATGGACATAGGTTCGCACGAACATCAAGAATATATGTTTGCATATTAAGAAAGTACAAATTGTTTGTATCAAGTAAATAGATTACAATACAACAATTATGTGTTATATATATTATTGGTACGTTCATTCTATCAGTTTTATTAAACATAGTGGCAATTATTTTTTCATAGAAAAGGGGGCAAATAGGCAAAAGGCTCATCTGATGTTAAGTGATACCGCCGCCCATGGACACTACAATACCAGCGGGCTCGCTAGTGCATTGCCGGCCATTTAAGAATTGGTATTCTCTTTTATTGAAGGACCCTAAGTCGAATTGGTTCGGAAATACTTCAGAGGGCAGCTGATTCCACATAGTGGTGGTGCGCGACAAACACTGCCTTAAAAAACGCTGGAATTTCGTATTCTGCCTCGACATCCGATGATGAAACTCAGCTGCAGGTATTAATCCGAACAACTCCTCTGAATACTCTCCATGGTAAATGCGGTAGAAGACGCAGAGTCGCCCCACATCTTTACGCAACTCCAAAGGATCAAGCCGCTCGGAGAGGGATTGGTCGTTGACGATTCCAACCGCTCTTCGTCGACTACGGTCAAGTGGGAGGAGCTGGTCTCCCGCCCAGAGTTGAGAACAGTACTCCATGTGGTGTCGAATTTGCGCTTTCATACAATGTGAAAAATATACTATACGATCAACACAATAATTTTATGTAATTTCTCCTCACTTATTTCTATCAACGGATTCGCCATATTTTGGCCTATAATTATTTGTACATGATGCATTTTTTTTTTCAGATTTTTCTAAAATTTACTTTAGCGTTATGATATTTTAATTATGTCACAAAAAGTAATCGACTCAAAATATTGGCGAAGTTGCTTGACAGTTTCATTTTGTCCGTTCTTCGCCCTTGATTTGGCATTAATCAAACTAGTAGTAAAAATATCCTTTTATTAATTTTGACGTTAATAATTGCACAATACGATTATCTAGTTGATAAAAGGGCCTGGGACTAGTGCTAGACAGGCTACTTCTAATTAATTTGCGATATTTGTTTTAAAATAAGTGTTGTTTGATGATTTGCTATTTTAAAAGAGTACCGAGAGTTTTTTACTCCTGCTTTTTCTCTCGGCCTACACCCTCTGTCTTCTTTGCAGATGAGTAGGGATGCCTACAAATTCAAATTTAATGACGTGGAATAAGTGATACCTATATCTTATTTTCCATAATAAACATATTTTATTTTTATTTTATTTTCATGTATGAATGAATAAAAGCACGACAAGATCATTTAAGCTTTGTATTCAAATAAAGCATTTGAGATTATACAAATAAAATGTATACAAATTTGTGGCCTGAATAAATGTCGTTTATTTAATTCCAAACTCGTGAATCCACTTAAAAGTAATGTATTAAAAGATTAATTTATTGCTAGCCGCCATCTTTATCTGCCTAAACTAGGATCCTGATATCTGCTAATGAGTGAGTGAATTAGCTTACTTAGGCGTATAAAAATAAAATAAATCAGTGGCGCTACAACCTCTTTAGGTCTTGGCTCTCAGATTTCTGAATCTGTTTCATGATCATTGTAGGTGATCAGCCTCCAGTGCCTGACACACGCCGTCGACTTTTTGGGTCTAAGACATGTCGGTTTCCTCGTGTTTTCCTTCACCGTTCTTTTTTTAAATGCGCACATAGAAAGAAAGTCCATTGGTGCACAGCCGGGGATCGAACCTACGACCTCAGGTATGAGAGCCATACGCTGAAGCTACTAGGCCAACACTGCTCATACTTAGGCGTATATAGCTTTTATAAAAAGAATATTAATTATAAAATACATAAATATATATATCTAAGATATATAAAGATATATCTTTCATTAGACAATATCTTTTAACATCGTATCTTTGTTTGTTGTTAGAGCGATCATTTAAATATATGCCTAGACTAAACCTTGGTAGTGGATTTAAAAAAGTTGAGTCATCGGCCTTCAAGATTTTGCGAGACAAAAAGCTTACGGAACCGTTACGAGTCTAAACATGTCAAGTCCCATTTCCTGAATACTTACACAGATAGATAGATGGAGGGGGGCTATTGCACTTCACTTATTTATTGACTATCCGAGATACGGGATCTGTTGATGCGACCTGGAACATAAAATGTTTATTTATTTATTCACACTTTGCACAATATTAAATAACAATGTTAATAAAAAACCAAAAAAAGTGCGTGCGTAAGAACACATGACAGAAGTGAAACTAGTTTGGCAAACAAATTTTTGTCAAGACAAAAATTAGTCTCAAACAAGACAATTGTTTGAACAAGACAAAAATTAGTTTGCCAATAGTTTGTATAAATAAGAACATTGTTCATCTAAATCTAAAACTAGATTTGAGGGAGGGAAATAGGAAGATATGTTAGGAATGTAATGAATTTAATTGTCATTAAATTATTAAGTGTCGAAAATTAATACAAGATATAAATTTATTTATTTATTTCTTCGATAGTAAAAACAATAGTGGGATTTCAATAAATTATTTTCCATAAAATATAAAATACTAATATTTCGTAAATTCTCTTTAAGACATTTTAATTTTTAAAATAGAATTTCGCCTTTCTCACTCTCTTTCAATCCGTCTCAATCGCTCCCACCTTTTTCTTCGAGAAAACTCTGCAAATCTTCGTGACGATTCTGTAAAAATTTACCCTCATGCGCCTAAAGAGGTTTCACTTCAAAAACAGTGCAACAGATCTCGTCTAATTTAACTTTATGTTAACAGGAAAATCTGAGAATCTCAGCTCTCCCCTAGCTTTCAATGTAGGGTGTCTAAAGATGCTTCAGAAAAGCTAAAAAATTCAATGCCTTTTTATATTTAACGAAATTATATAAATGTCTTCTTTAAAGGTCACATTTATATCCTAAACATTCATCCATTTTATCGCAATGAAGTTCATCATTAATAGTTAATAAAAGGTCAAGTCGAACCCGACCTACACCAAGTAAAGAGTCGTCTGTTTCTAGTTCAATAAGGAATTGGCAGTACGGCATCTGTTCAGTATTGTCTTGACGACTTATCGAGTCCTGTGGGTGATAACAATATTATTTAATTTATGTAACGAAAAATAACTAATAAAGTTCTATAAAATATACAAATTCTTTTTTTTCACTATTAAAATAATGATTTAAAATCATAATGTTACTGATATCGAAGAATTTAGATATATTCATATTAGAATTAGGTGTTGCAAGCAGTTAAATTCAGAACAACCGAAAAGATTTTGAAAACGTTCTAAAAAACATAATTTCTACTGTATCCCGAAGAAAAAATGTTTTGGGTTAGTAACGCGACACACGTCTTAACAATTGCCTTTTATAATACAGCCTTGCGATTCTGTAACTCACTTTTCGAACTCACACAGCGGTTGCATTCTGAAAAGGTGGGAGCTTGAAGTTTATTGTTTATCAGAATGCTAAATCATAAAATGACTGCTTCACGACTGATTTGAGAGGGACCGCCGATGCGAAAACCGCTGTGTGAGTTCGAAAAGTGAGTTACAGAATCGCAGGGCAGAAGAGGACATAAAGCAGGCAATAAGCGAGACGTGTGATATGAAGTTTAGAGATAGAAAAAGTAACTGGACACAATGGCAGGGGAGTAGAATAGGTATAAAAAATTAAGAAAAACAACTGCCTATTAAGTAGGCCCTAGTTATAGTTATAACACGTC